TTCGCCTGTTGAGTGGTGATAGATTGCATTTTGAGTTAGCAACTAAATACTTAGCCAGTAAACCACCAGTATTCCTTAGATAAAACTTAAGTAACAAAAAACCAAAACAAAACAAAAACCACTTTAAGTAAAACCTCATTGCTGTCGAGTTGGGACCAATTTAAAGCTAACTGTCCAGCAGCTTTTCAGAGGCTGTAAATAGCACAGGAGGAGATTGCCCATCTTTCTCCTGCAGAGCAGTTGGTGGATTTGAACTGCTCACTTTTGGGCTGGCAGTGTGACTCCCTATCCGCTAGGCTATCTAAGTGTTCTAAAAAACAATTAGCATTTAGTGAAAAATATTTTTTAAAACACTGAAAGATTACGTTGTTATGTGCTGTTGAGTTGCTTGCGACTCATAGCAACCCTGCGTACAACTCTGAACCCTGCTCTGTCCTGAGCCAACCTTATTATCTCTGACACACCTACCCTCATTACCCCAGTCACTGAATCAATCCATCTTGTTGAGGGTCTTCCTCTCCTGCGCTGTCCCTCTACCCTCCCAAGCATGATGTCCCTCTCCAAGGACTGATCCCTCTTTGCCACATACATGTTTTTAAAAAGATGATATGAGTTTTTGCTTTCAAGTATACATATGATTTTTTTTTTCTATTATGGTAAAAGAAGAACAGGTCTGTTTGAGCCCAGGATTCAGGATGAGGCATTTCTTCAAGTTAAGGAAGACAGAGGGAGCACACAATTAGATGTAGGGGACTGTCAAGATGTTGATTTTATTTAAGGTGGTGAATTCATAGATAATTATTATTATTATTGTGTTGTGTGTGGTTGAGTCAATTCTACCTTAGAATGATTCCAAAGGACAAAATGGAATTTCCTATAAATCTTCCGAGGGTGTAAATCTACACAGCAGCAGGTTGCCAGGTTGTTGTCCTACAGAGAGGTCTGATGGGTGTGAAGGTGCTCATTACATTGTCCAAAACATCAGTAACATCACGTGCAAGTAAAATCTTGCTGAAGATGATACAAAAATAGCTAGAGGAACTCATCGACAGAAAACTACCAGAAATTCACACTGGACTCAGAAGAGAACCTGGAACAAGGAGTACCTGCTGATGTCACATGCATTTTGACTGAAAGTAGAGAATCCTAGAAAGATGTTTATGCAAAAGCATGCAACTGTGTGTATTGTAATAAATTACAGGTAAAATTGAGAAGAATAGAAACTCAAGAACACTTAATTGTTCTTAATTGGAAATGAGGAACCTCTTTGTTAATCAAGAATCAACAGCAAAAGCATACTATATGGGTTAAAGTCAAGAATGGTGTGTGTCAGGACTGTATGTATCCTTTCACCGTACTTACTCAATCTGTATGCTGAGCAAATCATCTGAGAAGCTGGACTAAAAGAAAAATAATGTGCCATCAGGATTGAAGGGAGACTTACAGACATCCTGTGCTATGCAGATGGAACCACCTTGCTTGCTTGCTGAGAGTACAAAGACTTGAAGCTCTTCTGAAGAAGTTCAAAGACTGCAGCCTGAAGTATGAATTATATGTGAATAAAAAGAAAACAAAAACCCTCAACACTGGAACAATAAGCAACATCATGATAGATGGGGGGAAAGGCTTAAATTGTCAAGAATTTCATTTTACTTGGATCTACAATCCAAGGAGAGACAGGTCTTTGGAGAGGGACATCATGCTTGGGAGTGTGGAGGGACAGCGCAGGAGGGGAAGACCCTCTATGAGGTGGATTGATTCAGTGACTGGGGTAATCGGGATGGGTGTGTCAGAGGCAATGAGATTGGCACAGGATAGAGCGGGGTTTAGGGCTGTTGTATATAGGGTCGCTATGAGTCGCAAATGACTCGACAGCACATAACAACAAACAACAATCAACATGGAAAAGCAACAGTCAAGGAATGAAGAGATGTCTTGCATTGGTTAAGTCTGCTGTCAGGGACCTCTTTAAGTGCTACAGTGCAAAGATGTCGCTCTAAAGACTAAGTTGTGCCTGCCCCTAGCCATGCTATTTTCAGTTGCTTCCTATACATGTGAAAGGTGGATAATGAAAACAGAAAACTGACAAAGAACTGATGCCTTTGGATTGTGGTATTAGAGAAAAATATTAAAGATACCATGGACTGAAAAAAACCAAACCCAAACAAACACAAAACCAAAACTATCTTAGTGAGGTACACAACTAGAGGGCTCCTTATAAATGAGGTTGGGGAGACCTCACACATACTGTGAGCATGCCACCAGGAGCACCTATCCTTAGTAGAGGACATCATGGCTGGAAAAGCCAAGAGTCCATGAAGTGACTAGGACTCAAGGAGACCGACTGACCCAGTGTCTGCAACAAGCGCAGGAGGGGCTGTGAGGGTGGCACAGGATCTGGCAGGGTTTCGACTCAGTCAGTTAAGGGGTGCTGGAAGAAGAGGGTGACAGAGGCACAGGGTATGCGGGCACACGTAGGTCCCTGGGGTATATGGAGTTTCATGAGAATGTACAGGTGTCTGGGACTTGAAAAGTTGCCAGAAATCCTTTGGATTGTTTCTGTTGTTTCCCAAGAAGCATCTGTTTCTTGTCCTGGTTTGCTTATTCCATACGACACTGGGCAACTTGTCCCTGCATCTGCCTCCTTCCCTGTCACCTAGATGACTCAGCATCAGTGTCTCACCTCCCTGGGGTGTGTTGGTAGCTCCAGGGCCCAGGTGAGGTTTCAAAAAAGACTCATAGTTCCCAGGATTACTCACAGTCCTGGTGGAGGGGGGCTCATCCGGCCTGCCAGCAGGGAACCAGGTGGGAGGGTAGGCTTTCCGGGGGCAGGACAACTGGGCTGGGGCGGGGGATGGGGGGCCCAATCATGGGTGTCATCTGCTCAGCTCACACACTGTCCCCACGTGGAACACCCCTGCTCCTCATGGCTTCCACCTCTGAGCTCATCTTTGTAGGTGACATATGATTCCTTTTGTGAGTCTTATCTATGCTCTCATCCAGGATTTCCATGGAATCTGGGGGAATTAGAAGACTTAGATACAAAAGAATTTGTTACAAATGGGCCATAAAAGGTGCTACTTAACTTGGTAGAGCCTGTAGATGGAGGTTCCACGATGTGCAATGGTGGTTCAGTGGCAGAATTCTTGGCTTCTGTGTGAGAGACTCAGGTTCAATTCCAGCTAGTGCACGTCATGCAGAGAGGCCTCATCCACAGCCACGCCCATCAGTCAGTGGGAACACTGCAATGCTGGATGAGCTTGAGCCGAGTGTCCAGACTAAGATGAACCAAGAAGGGTCCAGTGACTGACCCCTGAACACCAACCAGTGAAAATGCGATGGTTCCTATGGCCAGACCTCCAGTTGGTCCGCAGGCCTGGAGCAGGACCAACAGCGTTTGTTGTGTTGTTGCCTGGTTCACCAGGAGTCAGGCCAGGCAGCAGTTACTACAGGGGAGGGCAAGGCCCTGCTTGAGTGTGTTCAGGTGATGTCTCTGGAAAATCACCTGTGAGACATCACGTCCAATTCTCACGGGCTCTGTCTGCGCACACTTCTGAGATACTGCCGGTTTGGTTCTGGACCATTGTGAACAGAGCAAATACCATAATAAAGCAAGTCACACAAATATTTTGGTTTCCCAATGCAGTGGTTAGGGCCGCTCTAGTGGTCTAGTGGTAAGAAGTTTCACTGCAATCCCAAAAGCACCTGGTTCAATCCCACCAGCTACTCCAAAGGAAAGATGGACGATCTCCTCCTGTGCGATTTACTGTCTCCAACACACGCTGGAGGGTCAGCTATGTAGCCCCCACTCGACAGCACGCACCTCCACCTCCAATGTGATGGGTACATGTAGTAGTTGTGTTTATACTATGTCACAGCCCATTAGGGGTGCAGTAACTTTGAGAAGAAGTGTTAGATACAGTGTGGATCACCAAAACATGGCAGAGGCACTCCACGTGCTTGTGCTGTTGGGGAAAACGCTGATGTCCAAGGGCAGCTTCATGGCCCCAAAGGAGACAGGTGTGTCTTCCCTCTTCTGTTTCCCTGGGTGGGGGTGCTGGGCCCTCCCCCCACACTCCACCCCTTCCTAGTCCAAGGGGCAAACTTTCTTCCAAGATTGCATGAGACTCATGAAAATACAGTGCCTGCCTTCCAAAGTAGCTCTGGTGGCCTAGTGGCAAGAACCTGATCTGCAATCACAAAGGCATGCAGTTCAAGGCCACCAGCTGCTCCATAGGAAAAAAAAATAATGGGTGATCTCTTCCTGAGCCATTCACTGCCTCTGAAAACCCTGAAGGGTCAGCTATAGGTCAGTTCTGACTCTACAGTACACACCACACACACACGCATCCCCTTCCAAGGAGTCTGGTGCTGCAGTAGAGAATTCAGCAGCTAACGAAGAGGTCAGCAGTTCAAACCCACTCTCTTCTGTGAACATTTACAGCCTTGGTTGGCAATGCCACGGGCAGTTCTACTCTGTCGGCAAGATCACCTGAGTCAAGATCAACTTGGCGCCAGTGGGCTTGGCTTGGGGTTTGGTTTCTTCCAAGGATCTCTCTCAGTCATTCTCACAGCTCTTCTCCTGACCCCTGTCTGGTTAGAGAAGCTGGTGCCGCACGTTTCAGGGTGGAAAAGCAAAGGCTGCCCCACTGACCTCTCCAGGGACAGCACGTGCACAAACACTGCCCCCGCTTAGTCCTCAGTGAGAGTCCCAGCCGGACCATAGTGAGAGCACTGGCTGCAGCCAAAGGCCTTGTCATTCATCTGCAAACTTTTTCTGAGACTTAGTTTTATCATCTGTAAAAGGGGATAACACCTCCCTCCCAAGGTTTCCCCCTGGATGACTGGGGCTGGCACAAAGGAGTTGTAGGCCTGTGCCAGGGCCCTGCCCCATGCCCTAAGGGACCCTTCTCTCGTACACACTCCCCCATCATAAGCTCCCACCTCCTTCCTCCAGCCTGGCCTCACTCCTGCATCCCTCATTCTCTTTCCTCCTCCAGCTTCACCTGGCTCTGCGGACACGTCCACCGGAACATCCTATCCAAGTTCACGGGCCAGGCGGTGGAGCTGTTTGATGAGGAGTTTCGCCACCTCTACGCCTCCTCCAAGCCCGTGATGGGCCTGAGGTCCCCCAGGCTGGCCATGCCCCTGCAGCCCCCAGGGGGTCCCAGCCCACCACAAGGCCCACTGAGTGACAGCAGCAGCTCGGCCAGTGACCACACCTCCTCCAACCCCTTCAGCACCCCGTCAACGGGCAGCACCCCTCAGAACCAGAGTCAGTCTGCATCCTCGGGGCCCAGCAGTCCTCTGGCCCCAAACCCTGCTGCGTCTCCCAGGTTCCAGCCCTTTCACCATGTCCCATGGGGGCCCCTGCCTGCACAGACACCCTTCTTGAGGCCTCTTGACAGCCCGACTATGCTCTACAGCAACCTTAATGCCTACAGGCCCACGCGACTGCAGCTGGAACAGCTGGGCCTGGTGCCCAGGCTGACCCCCACCTGGAGGCCCTTTCTGCAGGCCTCTCCCCATTTCTGAGGTCTTCCTTCAACTGCCTCCCAGGACCCGAGGACTTCGCCTTCAAGGCTAGCCCTGAACCACTTCTGTTTGAACTGACGTGTACAGACAAAACTGTGGCCCGTGTTTGAGTGTCCCCAAGCCTGAGAGCCTTCACTTCCCAATCCCATCAGTCCCTGGGTTCCTATCTCCAGTCTAGCCAACTCAACAGATTTCAATTCCAGAAGATTCTAGGGGGTGGGAGGGAGGTAGAGGGGAAAGAACAATAAGAGCCCTCTTTCCTTTCAAAAAAGAGTTCCCAAGTATGTTAATATTCCTGCCTCTCCATGTATGTGTAATATTGGGATGGGCAGATGCACATAAATGCTACAAATGGGTAAACTGAGGTCTCTGGTGTGATGGTCTCAGGGTGGGCTGTGGAGCCCTCACCAGCTCTGTCTTTCATCCTTTATCCCCTGATCCTGGGGTCGTGCAAAGCCTAGCAGGAGAAAGGGGGACAGGGCAGGAATTCCGTCAGAGAAATGCAGCATGCACCAAGGACATACAGTGTAGGGGAGCAGCTCTGCCAACTTGAGAGAGATCCCCCCAAAAAAGGTGACCTTCCACCTGATACCTTATGAGACACTTTAACTGGGGGTAGGGGAGTGTTCTAGGACATTCCACCCAGAAGGAAGCATGTGCGAGGGCCCCATGTTTGTGTTCACCCTCCATGCCTGGCACCCACCACAACTCTCCTCAGCAAAGCCTCCTCCACTGCCCCTCAGGGGCTTTGCCTTCACCGAGCAAGGCAGGGCAGGGAGAGCCCCTGCTGGGGTCTGAGACTCCAGGCGGCCTCCACACTGGACTCTGGAAGGTGCTTGTTCCCATGCTCCGGGCAGAGACAGCCCGACCTCTACTTCTGCAGTCCTCACTCCTTCAAGTTGTGTGCCTTAGTTTCTTAGTGCTGCTGTAACAACAAGGTCACAAGCGAGTGGCAAAATGTCTCCTCTCATGGTTTGCAAGGGGGAGGGCATCAGCACGAGAGGGTCCTTCCTTATTGGTAACTACAGGCACTGCTCTGTGCCCCTTCATATTCTTTGACTTATAAATGGCCCCTCAGGTGGTCTGTCTCTCCGCCTCCCCCCCCCTCCACTTCTGATCAGACAGAACAAAAGGAAACTCCTCCTCCTGACCCGGGCCTGTTCTCACAGCACCACAGTTGGCGGGTGGACATTAGTTCTAGAGACACCATAAAAACCCAGCCTTGGGCTTTCTTCCTGAGAAACCATTTCCTCTGGAACTACTGGTTTTTCACACCTGGCCCTGAGGTGCCTGAGGGCCTGAGGGCCGGAACAAGTCCCCATCCTCACTGTGAGCTGCCATTGCTCCCCCTTTATTTAAGCCCCAGGCCGTGGTGACACTTGCATCTCCTGGCGGTGGTCAGCTTGCCCGGTGCTATCCTTAACCACAGTCTGCTGTTATGTTGCCGAATCCCATTTTTTACTCACAGTGCTCCTGTGTAACAGTAGAACTGCCTGCAGGATTGTTGTGGCCACAAACCTTACAGACCACCAAGTCTTTCTCCCCTGGAGCCGCTGGGTTGATTTGAACCACCAACCTTTCAGATTTCAGCTGAGCCCTAACCCCCGGGCTGTCAGGTTTCTTCTGAGTCTTCACTCAAAACCTTGCAAAGCCCACTGTCATTGAGTCTGAACTGACTCCATGCTGACCCCCTCGTGGGTTTTTACAGGGGGTAAATCACACAGAAGGAGACAGCTCATCTTTCTCCTGACGATTAGCTAGTGTGGATTTGAACTGCCTGCTTTTGGGGTTGGCAGTGCAATGCCTTAACCACTAGGCTACAAATAGGGAATTTAACAGCAGCAGCTGGGTGCCTGCTGGCTGCCAGCCACTGTACTGGCTCCAGGCAAGAGAAGAGGCCCAGACCCACATTCTCCCCGCAGAACTCCAGGGCCTGTGGGAGGAACGAGCAGCCTTAAAGACCATGTGAGCAACACCGAAATGGTATCCATTGTCCTGAGCTGTCCCTTGGGGCACACAGGCGGGGGTCAATCTGCTGAGCCCTACTGCCTACCCCCAGGTGAGGCAAGGATCCAGGCTACACAGCACTGCCTGCAGGATGGTCAGCCAAGATTGATGGAAGCTGCCCAGAGCTGCTCTTCTCAAAATCTCTGCAGCGTGCCACTGGTCTTGCCCATTTCCTGATCTCTTCATTTATAAGGCAAACCCTTTGCCATCAAATCGATGATGATTCACAGTGGCCCCGTAAAACAGAGTAGAAGTGCCCCATAGTGTTTCTGAGGCAGTACGTCTTTTCAGAAGCAGAGTCTGGCAATTCCTTCTCCCACAGAGTCACATGGGTTCAAGCTTTTGGTTAACAACTGAGTGTTCAGCCACCTACACGCCAAGAGGCCGCTAGCACCTTTATACCAGGACCCTCTCCCCGACGCCTTCCGCAGCCCAAGCGCACAGCAGAGGGCTGGCTGGTGGGGAGAGGAGGGCAGAGGGCTGGCTGGTGGGGAGAGGAGGGCCTGTGGCTGCAGGGGATGCAGATGTGTGTTCAGAGGCAAAGAGCTGGCTCTGCTGCCCTCCGGCTGGAAGCTGGCAAGGGAGGGGCTCCCTCGCCTTGACCCTACCTCCTCACCTCCCACACCCTGCTCACCCTGCTGGCCTGTTGGAAATGCACCAATGAGGCTTCTCTAGATGCTTCCTTGTCTGGACTGGATCCAGGAAGCTGTCAGAGAGGAAGAAGCCATCACTCACTTTCTCAGCTTCCTCCTGAAGAGCATGTGTCAGAGAAGCTGTCACTCGGAATGTAAATACTGCAGACACACAAGCATGAGCACAGACACAACCTTTCAGTTGCTGTTCGCTGTGTTTTGAGACAGAGATGAGTCTCAGGGTGCTCCGTGCCGCCCCCTCTCCTCAGGAGTAGGGTGTCCAAATGCTGATGTGGCATGCTGAGTGGACAGAGGGGGCCAAATTGTGCAGTGTGTACCAAGGGCCAAGGCCGCTTTGTATTTTGCACTGTCCACTCACCTGATGCCGTTTGCAAGCTCATACAAACACACTTTTGGACCCTCTTCTTGTTGTTTTTGTTATTATGTGCTATCAAGTCACCTGCGACTCATAGTGACCCTATGTACAACAGGCCTAAACCCTTCCCTATCCTGTGCCAATCTGTCTCTGACACACCGACTCCCATTACTCCAATCACTGAATCAATCCACCTCATAGAGGGTCTTCCTCTCCTGCACTGTCCCTCCACCTTCCCAAGCATGATGTCCCTCTACAAGGACTGGTCCCTCCATGCAACATGTCCAAAGTATGTCAAAGCTTCAGAATCCATGCCTCCAAGGAACAGCCTGGTTTAACTCTCTCTCAGATGAATCTGTTCGTTTTCTTAGCAGTCCATGGTATATTCAACATTATTCTCCCAACACCCCAGCACAAAGGCATCAATTTTCCTTCTCTCATCCCTAGTCACTGTCCAGCTCTCTGACACATAGCAAGTGATTGCAAAGACCATGGCCTATGTCAGGTGCACCTTAGTCTCCAGAGTGGCATCATTGCTCTTTAGTACTTTAGAGTGGTCTCTGAGAGCAAACTTTCCCAATGCAATTTTTCTTTCAATTTCTTGGCTGCTGATGCAAAGAATGTTGATTATGGAGTCAAGCAAACTAAAGCTGTTAACAATCTCAGTCTCTTCACCATTCATCACGATGGGGCCAATTGGCCCAGTCCTTGAAAAAGGACATCATGCTTGGAAAGGCAAAGAGTCAGCAAAGGAGGGGAAGACCCTCCATGGGATGGACTGACAGTGACTGTAGTGGTGGGCTCAGGTGTGTCAGAGATGCTGAGGACGGCACTGGATAGGGAACATTCCCATCCACTGTTCAGAGGGTCCCTGTGAATTATAGTCACCTTGAGGGCACATAACAGGACTCCAGGTGTCTCATGGAGCCTTAAGAATCGGAGGAAATTAAACTAGTAAAACAAACAAATAAAAATATCTAGAAGACTGAATGGTCATGGAAAATGTATGATGGTGCCGGGTAACTCAGAGGGCCCTCAGGGAGGCCCATACCTGATAGTTCAATCTATCCCAACTAGGTGAGTCTCTCAGATGCCTTCAAATGAACTCCTTTGTGTATTTTAATACATTTAATTTCTGCTGTTGCTAACCAAATATAACACAGTTTATTAATTAAAGCCAAAGGTACTCTGTTTTCTCACTGAAAAAAAAAGTGGAAATTGGAATCACGGTCTTCAAGGAGCTTATATACCTTACATAAGCACTTAAAGATCACACACACACACACACACACACACACACACACAGTTGTTATTAAAAGTCCCTGAGTAAATCTGGGGAGCAGGCATTTCACTCTCAGTGTGACCTTGGGAACTGAGAACTCTAGGGAGATGGAGTCCCAGGTAGGGAACGGGACTGCAGGGAAGAACCTTAAGAGATTATTAGTCCACAGCAAAGGGCTTGGAGGTGGGGGCGGGGGCAAGGATCTCAAAGCTGTCCAGTGAACAGAGGATGAAGGGGTCCACCAGGCCTGTGTGGGTTCGAGGCCTCACAATGGATTTGGGAAATAAGTGATGCTCATGTTTTGAGAACAATCTTGTCTGGACTGTGAAGAAGTGGTTGGAAGGCTTAAGCGTTCAAACAAAGGCCTCTCACCTGCTCACACACCTGGTAGACTCTTCCAGGCATGGAGACAATGAAGACATCCCTTTAGGGTGCAAGAGAGGGACTGCAAGTTCCCCATGGGCCCCACCCTGCCCTTCCACCCAGAGATCTGTGACTCATTCATCTACCAGGAGGGCGGTGACTTTCCGAAGGTTTTTCTTCTAGCAGAGTCATCGTTCAGTCACCCCCTTCACAGCGCACGGTGGAAATAATCATAGGAGCTCCTGTGTGATGACAGAGGCACTCTGTCCTCCTGGGTCCCTCTGATGTCCCGTAACTACAGCTGAGCCATCAGCTTCAGGAGAATGCGTTCTTACCAGCACCAAGACATTCCAGGCAGGAGAGAAATGGGCGGGCAGGACGAAGACGAGGACGCACTACGTCCACTCAGCAGCTTGGGCAGTGAAAGCAGCGAGTGCAGACAGAGCAAGCCACCGGGGGTTTGGAGGACGAGAGCTAAGAGATAAAAGGGGCCAATCCCAGCCAGGGTCCTGAGTGATTGTGAGAAATCCTCAGAAGGCAAGGACTGCCTGGGCACCAAGTCAGATCTACGGCACACAAGATGCTGTCCGTTTATTGAGATGCCAGGTGTTCTGCCCTGGGGCTCGAAATGTGAACAAACTGGTCCTTGATCTTATAAAATTATCATAGAGACAGGCATCAAAATGCAGATTAGTAAGGAGAAACCCTCACCTCTGAGGCAACAGGCAACATCATGATAAAAGACATGACTGAAGCTGTCAACGATTTCATCTTATTTGGAACCACAATAATCTGCCGTCAAGGATCTCTCCAAAGTGCTAAGGAGCAGCACTGTTAGTTTAAAGACTAAGGTGTGTCTTATCCAAGCTACGGTATTTTCAATTACTTCCTATGCATTTGAAAATTGGATAAATAAAGATGACGGAAAGATAGATGCTTTTGAGTTGTGGTGTTGGGAGTACTGAGTAGCCCATGGGCAGCAAAAAGAACACACGAGTGTTGACACATCATGCTTTCCTGGAGAAAGTACAGCCGGAGTGCTCCTTACAGGCAAGGATGGGGAAACTTCTCACATACTTTGTGCATGTTACCAAGAGGGGCCAATACTTGGAAAAAGACAACATGTTTGGAAAGATTAGCATAAAGGACTCCCACAAGACAGACTGACACAGCTTAACAATGGGCTCCAATCAGAGATGGTGCGGGCGGCCCAGCACAGGATCAGGTTCGGAACTGTTCACAGGGTCACTATGAGTTTTAGTTAACTGGACAACACACAGCAACAGCTATAAAAGACTAGACTTGCAGTTGTTGGTCATTTTAACAAACTCAATTATACCAAAGAGCAATTTTTTAAAAAAAGTCATTGCTGTCCAGTGAGGACCAAATCAGAGCTGATGAGGTTCCACTCGGGTTTTCAGAGGCTGTAAATCACAGACTGCCCACATTCCAGAGGCATGGCCTTCGGGCTCGCAGTGCGGATCTCCATGCACTCCACCCCCAGGGCTCCTGAAGGTAATCACAGTATAAACAAAACCAATCCTGCCTGTCTGGAGAACTGAGCTCTGGTGGCCTAGTGGGTAAAGACTTGCGCTGCCAACCCGAAGTCGTCTGGTTAAAATCCACCAGCTTCTCCACTGGACAAAGATGGGTCTTTTCCTGTTGTGCGATTTACAGCCTCTAAAAACAAGCTAAAGGGTCAGCTATGAGTCAGCTCTCACTCCATGCCAGTGACTGGGAGGCAGGATCTGAGCAGGAAGGCAAGGAGGAAAGGAAGACTTCCCTTTGTGCCCTGGGCTAGAATTCTCTTCCCTCTGCTGAGAACAGGCAAATAAAAACTATAGACATCTGATGAAGTTGTTTTATTTCTAAATTTTCTTCCTCATAAAAAAAAACAAAAAAAAAACCCCATTTTTATCCCAACTTAGCAAGTTAACAGCTGCCAGATCAGAGGGTACACTGGGTCTAGGATCTGTGTGGCCAGAAGGGCAATCGCACTGGACAATGCCCTATGGGTTCTCCCCTCTTTGCACGTCTTATGGATAAGGCATGAAATGCTCTTTGTTTTAGACTAGGATTCTTGCAAGGATGTTTTTATAGCCGACACCTTTAAAAAGCAGACTGCGTCTTTCTCTGGAGTGAAGAGCAAGCACATTATTGCCCGCTGTAAACTCTGTCTCGCTAAGCTCCATGCTCCCCTCCTATAAGGTCACTGCATCACCCCACACACCATCCCACACGCAGCCTTTCACCAAGATCCCTCTAGACTGCGCCTTTGGGGGACCTGGGAGCAACAGAACTGATACCAATGTGAAGGTCAAAGTAGATGCAGAGCCAAAAGGCACAACGTTCTCTGCTTCTGGCCCTGGATCTCCTGTCTTCTGCAGGAGTCAGTGGAACTCTAGCAGGCCAGCGTGTTAACTTACAGAGACAGTACAATCTCAGACCTTTTACCACTTGACACTTCCTTTTCAAAACTGGTTTATTATCACATTCTTGGTTTATTGATAAACGTGAAGCCTTACTCTGCTGGTCATAGTGTAAAAGGCCAGGAGTCTCAGTGGTAAGTACTTGACTGCCAAGTAAAAGGTTGGTGGTTCAAATCCACTCTACGGCAGAGCCATGTTTATAAAGACAGCCTTAACCACTACATGGGGAAGCACGCCTCTGTCCTACAGGGTCGCTGTGCGTCAGAACTGAGTTAGCAGTAAAGGGGAGTGCTAGTATGTTGGTGTTTGCTGCTGCTCAATTGGAATTGACTCCTTTTTGACCCTTCAGCGGGTTTTTTAGAGGCAGTAAATTGTGTGGGAGGAGACTGACCATCTTTCTCCAGCAGAGCATCTGGTGGATTCGAACATCCTGCCTTTTGATTGGCAGAGCAATTCTTCAATCACTTGGCCACGAGAGCAGCCTGCAGTATTTAAATAGCAAAAATAGAAAATTAAAAGTTGTTAAACTGAATGTAAAAATAATAATCTAGGCGAGACATCATTTTTATAAAACATAAGCAAATATTTTTAATTCTTTATATTGCATTATTAGCTGTGGCTCTTGTTGGAAGTGAACAAGTACTGTTGAAACAGTGAAGATGTTTTTGGTTTTGTTTTAAAACAGGCCCTTAAGCCAAGGTTTGTATCTCTGTGTGGAAGGGATTCTCCGCGGGGCGGAAGTGGTCTTTGATCTTTCTGAACCACTTGTCCTCAAATTCCTCAGAAGATGCAATCATCAAGGCCGCCAATGCAGCAGAGCCGACACACTTGACCTCTGCGTGAACTTCCTCTTTGATTTTTTCTGGAACAAGATCTTCTCCCATGACCTGTGAGGGTGGAGGGCGTGGGTTAGGGGATGCAGGAGGAAAAAGACTCAGCAGACATGTAATGAAAGACTTTCATACAACAGTATAAAACACTTTGTGGCCAGAGGGTATTTCCACCATACACAAGTGAGAATCCAAGCACCATGTTACATAACAGCCCACACATCCACCCTCATCCTGTCCTGGGTCAAAGGCTCACCTGGAAGTACTCTTCGGACTACCCTGGGTACTGAGTCAACCATTTCATACCAAAGAACACATTCTCACAGCAGAACAGGACTGCATGTGACCTTCCTGCCTTCTAGAATGGGCTGAGAAGGAGGGGGTGGAGCTTGGATGGAACAGAACTGCTGCCCTGAGTTCTCTGCTCTAGGATTCTGTCTGCTGGACGCTCTCCTGAAAGGCAGCAAACACAAGTTCCAGATCTAACTCAACCTCAGACTTAGGCAGGCTGACTTCATGGAGGCACAACACTGCCCCCTTCTGGCCAGAGGGAGATCCATGAGGGTAAGGCCATGTCTTAACAGACACAAGCAAGATTCTGGCTCCATAAAATCAAACTGCGAGAAAGGCTATGTAGCTGTTTGGCAGCAGCGTGAAGGGACCGGACCAGAGGATGGAGAGTCAGCGTGTATACAAGTGCTCAAGTCATGGGCAATGAAAGCTCACTCGAAGGGTGGTGTCCACTGGCTTTTTAAGTCTTTAAAGACGACACGCTGATGGAGGCAAGAGGACATGAGATGCAGAGCCAGGTAACAACTGGTTATTTATCTAAAACAAAAAAAACCTCATCCAGTCAGAGCTGACTTTCTGTGGCGTGTCCAAAGCTGTAAACTACACAGAACTGCTCATATTTTCCTTTCAAGGAGCCACTGGTGGGTTTAAAGCCTAGAGGGTCAAACCTTTGGGTCAGCGGCACAACTCCCTATGAATCATGACGAGTTGATCGATTTATTTCTTTTTCTGTGTTAACCTCTCTGAAATCAAGATGTACCCTAGATTCATGCACAATGAAACTGGTAGCTTTTTTTTTCTGTTGACAGGACAGAAGGTGATACTGTATCTTAGAACTGATGAATTTTATATTCAATGAAATACAGTATTTAAAAATCTGAACAAGTTATCTTGTTTTAAAAAATGGAGAGGAAAAAATGAGAGAGTACATCTACAATAAGTTACATTCTTAAAAATGTTTAAAATGAAAACAACTATGAGATATCATTTCACCCCAGTCAGAATAGCAAAATTTAACAGAACAGCAAGCAACAAATGCTGGCGAGGTTGTGGAGAAACTGGAACCCTTATTCACTGTTGGTGG